GTGTGTGTGTGTGTGTGTGTGTGTGTGTGTGTGTGTGTGTGTGTGTGTGTGTGTGTGTGTGTGTGTGTGTGTATTGTGGGGGGTGGTTGTCTTTCACTCCAACAGACAGCCGTCCAGGCCTTGGTGCCGTGGTGGTATGTCGAGTGTTTATAAGGCGAGGTGACCCGGACTGACCGCTGACCCCAACACAACGAGGGGAGCTGTAGAGAGGGGCTAACACCACTTGGTGCTAATGGACAAGAGGTCTGAGAGAGCTAGGACGCAACGGACAACAACTCTTGACCAGACCGTCCTTCAGGCTTTACTGGGTCATTTTGGTTTCATCACACATAGTTACATCTACCAGGAAATTCAGCTCCCAAAGGCCAGTGAATTTCCAGCCACAGACTTGGTTTATTACCAAAAGATTCAATTAGCGTGTGCAGTGCATCTTGACCCATTTTATTCTATTTCAGAATTTACTTGCACAGTGACTTGACCCAAAACTACCTTATCTGGAGTTTAGAAAAGGTAGCAGTAGATAAGGTGGCTCAATGTTGTTTGATTCCAATGAGACTAAATGTTTTTATGCATTCTGAAAGACTTGCACAATATCAAGTGTTTTGTCCTAATGTCTTGAAAACAGGCTTGGTATGAGGTGTAGAAAAACGTTGTAGTTCTCAAATGAAACACTTCCATTTTGAGAACTGCAGTGGAACAGTTTTTCTTATGTTTTACCCTTCTTCTTTTTCTTTTTACTTCTAATGCTCACATTTCGCCTTCCTGTAACGTTTTGCACCCTAGAGTGGTTTTAACTGCTGACCTCAAAGGATATTCATCCTTTAGGGATTTCTGGGGAGCAACTGTTGACTAAACTGTAAGTCTTACCTGTGCTTCTTCTTTGAGGCCCATTTCGTGCCACTCCAAGATGAGATGCAGGATGAAACCTGCATCCATCTCCGCTCGTTCCTGTTCTTGGTTTGTTGTATAAGCAAGTTTTTTATAACACGTTTTTTTAAGTTTAAGATAAATCCTTTGCTGGTTAAATTAAATCACCTGTTGATTGGGTCACGGCTTCACATAGACTTTTCATAGCTTTTGCTATAGGCACAAAAACCAACGTAGCCGTTGTAAAGTTTGATAAATTTCCCAGAACGTCGACTATAATTAGAGTTTTCTGGCCTCTATCTCGCTTGATTTCTTTCATATATTTATGTACATATTACGCTTCCCCTCAGTCTTCTTTCCATCTCCATTCCTCTCCTCCCTCCTCTTCTTTCATGACATCATCTGTCCTCGGTGTGGTTGGGGTTTAGTTGGACCGCTGCAGCTATATTAAACCATCCCGGTTTATTTTCACCCTCCTTTGATCCGTCCTTGTTAGAGCCGCCTGCCGCAGTGCCACACAGCCACGGGACCTGCCAGCCCCCACATTATAAACCCTCCTAGTGTGTAAAATAAAACGCACTCAGCATGTGGACGAAATCAGGCAATAAAGGCAGGGGTGTGAAAGTGGAGTGAATTAAAAACCGTGGACTCGGTGCAGTCAGCGGTAATGACGGAGACGGCTCGCGGTGCTGAAGGTGACAGCAGGATTGTTGAGTTGGTGTGAAAATTCACAGCTGCAGCGAGCCACATTTTGTTCCCCAGCCCGCAAAGTCCAAACCTGTGATGACGTTGATGCAGGAGCGCTGAGATGGTTTTATTTCTCTCTTTAAGTTAGAGAACTTTTTGTCAATATCAGAACCATTTTACACATAATTATCTTTTGGTGCTAAAAAGTTTGGATGACTGGTGAAATATTAGGAGCCAAAAATAATTCTGAGAATCCTCACAGTACTGAAACAGTTCCACTTTAAACCCTCCTTAGTGAGGGTAATAATGCTGTAATAGCCGCTGTGTCTACTGTAAAAGAAAACAAGAATCACATATTTCAGTATTTGGTTTTTCATATAAATGCAATTTGTGAAACATCTAGACAGCTGTTCACCATTGTTCTCCATTTGACTATTGTGTTCACTTTATAGCTGCTATCGATATGTACCGATTCATATCCCCCAATCTCTTCGATGTTGTTGGTTTAAATCTTAAACTTTATGAATCCCGTACTCTTTCTTCATGTTTTTGTCCAACGTTTTGGGATTTCTGCCTCACACTACTTAATCATAGATATTTCTGACCTGCTATCAAATAGAAACATGTCATTTGTTCTTGCACAGTGGCCTCCAAAGATGGAAAAGACCAAAATGTACAACAATGGTCTTAGTTTTTAAAGAATGAATTCAGATTTGTCCATCAGTGTTTTTTTTATAATTCCCTTTTTAGACACCATCCACATACGTCTGTGAATTTTATGCCTAATTCTTTTTCCATGTCACTTCCTTTATGATTTAATGGTGTCCCACTTTTCTCATGAAGAATCTAAGACTCCTCCCTCATCCGCTGGAGTATACTTTTAGATTGTTCTTGGTCCAGATTTGAATGTATGAAAAAGAGTTATTCCGTGTTAGATATGTGCATCGGGGAAGCATTTCTCACCCAAAAGCTCCATCAGTTACGGCTCTGGGTTTGCTGTCTCGATGGGGAATGAGATAATTTATGAAATCTGGTGTAAAAAGAACACCCCGCGGGTTTTCTCGTTAATCTTCAGCAGTAATGAAAACTGACAGAACTTTAAGGAATAAATCAATTCTTTAAACTTTTACTCAAGAAAGGTGACAGCATTTTAATTCCCATTGGGAAATATAACAGACAGAGTCAAATATGGGAAAGTACAAATGGGAATCTGACACAGATTGAAGTTGAAGTTTTTACAAATATCGTAGAATCGCATTTCAAGACGAGTTCTCTGTGTCCGTTGTCTTCATATGCAGGACGGGAAAGCAGACTGTAAACAGGAGAAATGCCCGCTTGTCTCTGAGGACTGTGCGCTGGTGGTGAAGCAGACCGGGGCCTGCTGTGAGAGGTGTAAAGGTAAGACAGACAGGTAGACTCACTGCCAGAGGACGCCCAACCCTCTTCGTTTTTGATCCTGATATTACCGTATATCAACAGTCGCGGTCACTGCCATGAACCTCAGATGTTTTATTGTTGGGCTGTGGCAGCTGCAGCTGCACGGCACTAATGGGGGACTGTAATAACACGGACACATAAAGATGCTTTCCAGAGTCTCCGAGTGCACACGCAGTCTTTGGGGAACACTTTAATACAGTGTATCTAAACATCCAGGCCTAAATATGACATGTGGGAGTAAATTTGGGATTATTTGCCTCACATAAAGGCACATAGACACATTCGCAGCGTATGGAGACAGTTTGGCTGCCGAAGGGGTTCACCGTTGGGTTTACAGGCAGCAGAAATACAGCTGCTTTATGGGCCAGAAACCCTTCAATATATCCTCATTCCTCATCATCCTCCTCTGTAAGTGCTTTTGTTTACTCTCGACATATGTGGGGATACATATTAAAGGCCACACTCCACATTATCAACTTCCTCATGTTTAATTTTAAAAGCAAGAATTTTTGAATACCACAATTAGGCATATATGACTAAAGCATAATAAAGTGGATGTATTTGGATATTTCAAGTGCATTTTCTTACATTTGTAGGTAAGCATATGTTTCCAATGCAGAAATAATCTCAGTCTTAACCCTAAAAATGGCGTTGTATCTGCGTGGTGCATCATATAAAGGTGTTTAGTCATGAGCATTTTTCAGAATGTCAGCTCGATGACATAGATAGACTAACCCTAACCCTACTAAGAATAAATGGTATAGACAGTGAATGGATGGAATTGTATTACATCTAAACTCCATCCTGTGAGAATATGAGTAGAGATTCAAGGACAGAAGGACAAAAACTGCCCAACAATTAATTCTTGGTTCCTTTCTGTCATTACCTGAAGCGATGTCAAAATGAGTGCTGTGTGCTCTGGCTTTATGCGTCACATGACCATCGCCCATCTATCTTATCCTGTTTCCAGGAATGGATTTTTTTTCAAAACACTAACCTACGCTTCAAGACATATTCCAATAAAATTCTATTTATCTCCTCTCAGCCATCCTTACATTTCTAATTATATCTATTTAATGATGGTACAGACTCTGAAAGCCTTACTTATATAACTTATTTTGGGTGATGGATCACACCTCTAACAGCATGATAAGTTTCAAACGTTGTGTTTAAGTTTTCCTCTGATAAGGCAGATAAGATAGGAAGTAAATAAAAGTAGTGCAAAACACTATTTAGGGATACTTAGATATTGGTGGTTGACATTTTCAGTACACTTAATTTCATCAGCTTGAGGCAAATCGGTATCCACTGACACGTAGAGCGACATTTTCTTCTATACTCAAACACTGAATAAGCCCAAAAGCCCCTAAGATGTCCTCATGTTGGGGGAGGCTTGCCCTGTACTTATGGCCATGTGGCTCCATGGAAATATAAAAACACAGACACCTACTCCCCGGCTCTCAGCAGGGGCGCGGCCCTTTTGTTTGCAGTTTGCAGTTTTTATGACGTAGCACTTCGTTAAGAGAGATGGAACATGTTCAGCTCGGACACAGAGAGGCTCGTGTTGCCACAGCAGCCTGTGTTAGTTTGTTATTGTGTGGTCGAGATGTGGTCTCTGTGACCATATTTAGGACCCCTCTGTGTCTTTTTGTTGGAAAAATACACTTAGATCATCTCGTCATATTGCTGCTTTTTCACTTTTTGATGAAATCACACTTGCAGCGAAAGAGAATTACAGCCTTATGACATCAGTTTATGAAGAAAACTTTATTAACAGCCTTAAAAAGTTTATACATGGAGAAGTGTTACAAAATAGGAGTTTAAATGGATAATTAAAAAACAACTGTTTGCCATTGAAAAAAATGTCCTGGAATAAGGTTGCAGTTTATTTTTATGATCAAATAATTAATATGAGTTCAAACTAGAAAATAAAAAATGAGGTGCGTCACAAAAAACAATAGAAACTTGCTCTTATACTGCCTGAAGTAAGAACATTACAACATTCAACAAAGTGCTGCAGCATTTATTGGCTCAGTAGGACGTGTGATGTTGACTTTAAAAATAATTTAAAGAAGTGAGAAATGTACAAATAATGTACAAATCTAAGTAACTGCAAAAACTACAAATATTTTGTATTGGTTTGTATAACTTTATTCTGTTTTTCTGTTTGTATTCTGTCTCAAATGTCCCTGTTTACAGTAAATCTTATTATATAAAGTATATATACACATATATATATTTATTCCATCTATAGTATTCTCTATAGATGGTGTGTTTTGTTTACGGAGCAAAAGTGACCTCCAAAATGATCACAAATTCAGACCCAAAAGAATACAAAAACATAGATGTATCAGCTTTCACATTTCACATCCATCCAGAAATATCGACAAAACTCTTGCTGTATGGAGAAGGATATGTTGTCAATTCAGCCTGTGTTAGTGTCTGTATGAACAGGATATGAGTCTCTATGGGATGTGCTGCCATCTAATCTCATCTTTTATTTTTTTCTGAAATACTTTGCCCCCCTACAGCATTGATACAGCAAAAGAGGATTTGGTTTACCATGAAGATAGATCAATAGCTGCGATCAGGTTTCATCGCAAAGTTAAACATTGATCTGATCGCTGTTACTGTAAAAGGGATGAAATGAATAGGCTTTTCATTCAGGAATGAGTGGACTCAGTGGTCAACGAATCAGTGGTTGTGACTTATAAAAGCAGGCTAAAACTGAGGGTTAAGGGATGAGAAAAATGTTATCAGTGTCAGAGTGTTTTGAACCTCTTTTTTTAAGTCGCACTCATGCAACCTGCTGCTATTTTGATTAACTTTGGACTGATGTTACTTTTTTATAACGCCCACACAGTTAAACGGGGCTATTAAATAAGAGGTCAAAGAGGCAATTACTACAGCAATCTTTAAATTTTACAGCGGGTTATAAAACTCTGACATTAATAAGCACAGAAAGTGATACGCATCGATCTAACTAAACTATACCAGATGTTTTTATCACTAGAATAGTATTATACCTCATTAATGCTTTGTCATAAAGGTTTGACTGCCAAGTTTAGTCGTGAATAGATCAGTCCTTGACATGACATCAAAAAACAATATGTATTTATGTATAAAAAATTAGACATAAATGATTGTTTATGTGTAATTGGAAATACTCAAATGATAAAAAGGGATTTTCCGCCATTTAAAGAAAAGAAAATGTACTTTGAGTGAACCTATTTGTTCTCTTGTGGCTTTTTCCTCCATATCCCAGGCTGCATGTTAGATGGACGATCCTACAACAGCTCGCTATCCTGGACCAGCTCCACCAAACCCTGCATAACCAGACGCTGTCAGGTGTGTGTGTCCGGCAAACAGCTGGTGTGTTTTCAGAGAGCTTATTGAATTATGGGATCTTGTAAGATGAAAGAAACGACACAGGAATGTGTTTAATATGGAAGGATGGAGTAGATAAACAAAATTATTGGACATAAACTGGGAGGAAAAAATGGCTGGAGGAAAGAAAAAGGGGACATAGATACAAAAGGAAAGAAAACAAGACGGTGAAAGTAAGATTGGGGAACGGGAATGGTTAGAAGACATCAAAGTGTGATATGATGGGAAGAGAGAAGGAGGCATAAGCATGGAGTAGGAATGGGGATTTGTACTGAAAACATTATTTTTCCCTCGATCATGACAGGAAGGTGTGATCACTGAGTCGGAGGTGCAGTGTGTCGTCCACTGCAAGAACCCCAAAATCCACCCAAAGAAGTGCTGCCCCACCTGCCCCAGTGAGTACAAATTTTACGTATGTGTCCTTTTTAATTAAACTGATTACAATTCTTTTCATCTGGCAGTGGATCAAGAAATTATTCTTGCCTTTAGTCAGATCAATTAAAATGAAAGTTGAGTAAAAATTGAGATGAAAACCAAGTTTCTGAAAACACACTGACACCAAATCATGCCATATTTTTAGAAACAGAAAATTCTATAAATCATTTATTCAACAGCTTTTATCTAAAAGCCCTGTTTAGTGCTCAGATGTTTGGGATAAAATACTTAGAATCCTAACCCCTGAGGAAACAGAATTTGTGCATTGACAAAAGAAAATAAACGTAATAATGTTTTTGATGCATGTGACCTCTCTCCCTGCAGGCTGTATCTTTGAGGGCCGCCTATATAAAGAGAAGGAGGAGTTCAGTCCAGAGGGGAAAGCCTGCATCAAGTGCACGTGCACTGTGAGTACACAGACCAGGCATATTCTTACCTTTGAGCAGGGACTCTGTCCTACAAATGAGTTACCTTTGGCGCCCCATTGGGAGTCACAAATTTTGGGTGGAAAAACACACTTTGTGTTTCTTTTTCAGTCCCAGTTCCTCCCACGTCCAGCTCTCTATGCATCCCCTGTCTTTGCCTCCCCCTTCCTCCCACTTGGACAAACAAACCTCACAGATATGTCCATAAACACATGAAAGCATTAATGTGCTCACACCTAGTTGGGACAACCATTAAACCTTTTAACAAATATGCACACGCAGAAAATGATCCGTTTTGAGTCAGCCAAATTAACAATGTGCCTACACATGTTTATCCAGCTTCAGTTCCAAATTTATCTTTAATCTTGGGCCAAAATACGGACTGTTTATCTATTACCGTAAATAAATGACTGCACTGTATTCACATACATAAAGAAGTACATAATTCTTTAATTGTTTTTAGCAACAAGAACCAATGATCTGAAGATAAAAAATATGGGAAATGCGATTAGAATGTTTTGATTGACTGTCTTTTCAAACTTTGTGTGCCATAACGTCATCCAAATCTGAACAAATTATCCTCAACAACGATTATGTTAATAGTATTAAAGATGATGATTTTGTTTAACTAAACACTTGGATCATTACAGATGTGATGTTACATTTTGTTTACATGATGCATGCAGATGTAAGAAAGTGAGGCTTTATTTTTTTGCCAGAAGCTAATGCATTTTGGCTATTTTTATTGACTTCGTTCCAGGGAGGACGGACTCTCTGCGTGAAGGAGGTGTGTCCGGTGCTGTCCTGCCCTGCCCATCTCAGCCACACCCCACAAGGACAGTGCTGCCCCAGATGCATAGGTAAAGTCCACCAGACGGATATGTCTTAAAGGCCTGGATATATTTTTGGGCCGATGAAACCAAAACTAAAAAATAAATGATTGAGTGTTCTACCCTTTATGTCTGTATTTGTCCTCCTCCAGGTCAGAGGAAGGTGTTTGATCTGTCTTTAGGAAGCTGTCTGTTCCACAGTGAAGTCTATGAGAATGGCACCTCCTTCATCTATGACAACTGTACCACCTGCTCCTGCAAGGTATCTGTTTGAAAAAGTCGATTCTCTTCATCAAAGAAATAGTTGTCTCTCAACTTTATCATATCGGTTGATTGTCGCCAACTAATAACCCAAACTAAAGGCCCAACTGGCTGACTAATGGAGGACTATTGTGTTGTGTTATCTGTCTCAGGATTCCACAGTGTTGTGCAAAAAGCGCTGCTCTCGACCAGGTAGTTGCCAAGGTGACCATTGCTGCGATGAGTGTCTGTCATATGTGAAAGTGGAGGAGGTGAAGTACTGCAGAGTCCGGAACAAGATCTACAGGGTGAGGAATGGATGGATGGCCGATGGAAGGATGGAAAGATAGATAAATGAACGGATATTGAATAGTTATTGAATGAGTGGATGACTAAATAGACAATTGGTGTTGGATCGATACACAAAGCAACTGATTGAGTGAATGTATATGTAAATATATAGATAATGTGAAAATATTAACATTTGGAAACATCTGTTCAGTTTTTTATGAATGGCGTGACACATTTAAGACATTGTTGAAAAATTACTATCTTAACGAATAAATGGATGGACAGACAACTGGAAAATAGATCTAATAATGAATGATAGGTACGAATCGATAGTACACACAGAGAGAAGAATGAGCTTATGGGCAGATGAAAGCCAAGAGGGAGAGATTGATGATAAATCCAAACTGTGGTAGAATACCTAGATGCTTTATCTCCTTGGTCTTTTCATCCCTGTAGGAGGGAGATATGTGGTCATCGGTCAACTGCACCCTTTGTGCCTGTGTCAAAGGCAGCATCGAGTGTCGCCCCAAACAGTGTGTGCCCATCGCCAGCTGCCCCTCGGTGAGTGACACTGACTTACTTCTGTTTGGCTGTTGCACATCTGGATACCCTGCTATTCTTCATTTGTTGCTTTGTTTTTATCTGTATCAGGTCTGACTTTTAACCTTTACAAGCCAAGATTAACCCCCATGTGACATTCAAGTGTGTCTCAGAAAAGTTGTGTGCTTCAATTAAAGTAGTTCGGTGTTTAATTATTCCAAAACCCTTATTTATATATATTTGAATTTGATATATATACAGGATTGAAGAAGTATGTTCATCTTGTAGCTTATTTTTTATATAAAGAAACACAACAAAATATAAGGACTCAATATTCAGGGTGCATTTTTTGCTCATTAGGGAGCCCTCTCCTGGCTTATGCATCCCATGAGCTGTAAATCTCAGGGAACCGCTGGCATGAAAAAGATTTGCTCCGCGTTCACCTGTCGCAGAGGTCGCTCTGAAGTCATCTGTCGGCCGGTGGGAGATGGAGTGGATTCCTGGCATACCGCCGGCCGGCGGTGGTCACGCAGTCAATGCTGGTGTCAGAGTTAGTCCAAGTTCACACGCTTCCAGAACCTACAGCAGGCCCCCACCTGTTGTTTGCGGTCAGAGCAAATGCGGAGAGAAGTTGGTGGTCTGCTGCGGGTTTCGTCTCCAGTGAACACCATTTGTTAAGTAAGACGTTGAGATAAAATGTGATATTTTTTCTTTGCTGAAGAGATCACAAAGAACTCGACAGGAGTGACTGGTAATTACTGTTATTGAGATATGAGCATTCTTTTGTCTCAAAGAGTTGAATTTATCAGAAAATTCTATTTACTGATTGAATTTTGACTCACCTTTACCTTGTCCGTCATAAATTTAAAAAAAAATCTATAATTTAATATTTTTATTTTACTAAGTCTTAATCTATATTACTAGTCTACAAGAAGTTGATGCAAACCTTTATGTGTCATAGGATAGTGCCACACGGGTACATTTTGACTTAGTATTTTTAAAAGGTGTTTAAAAACAACTATAAAAATTGCAGAATTCTAATACAATAAGAAACTGTGTTTATTTTACACATGAAAACTATAAATCAAGTAGGATTACTGAAATATTCAAGCTTGTAAAAAAGCATGTAATTTCCAACATAGTGAATTTGACTAAATGCATATTGCACTACTTATTTTAGTAGTTTTAGAATGCAGTGATAAAACTGTCTTCCTTAACACATTCTCAGCGGAGCTTAGAATGGTGAAAAGCAGAGGGATTGCATTGAGATTTGAGCAAAAGATAGAGATCGGACAAATAAATACATCAAAATCTCCTTACTAATTTAATCTACAGCAGAACAAGGTGAAATGTGGGTGTTTTTTAGATAAAAGTCCTGTCTTTCATAAATAAAAAGCACAATATCTCCGAGGAGAATGGATGTTTTGATATCATATGCATGGTGTCTTAAAGAACGGCATTTGAAATTCACGGTTGCCTGTAAAGGATTGCCAGGCTTTGTAACGAGCATCCTGCAGACTGGATTGTGAAACTCAGACAGGATCCCTGAACGGGCTGTGGCGCTGTCTGCTATTGGTTCCCTGTGTGCGCCTGAACATGCTTTGATGCTGGTCGACTTTTGTGCATGAGAAGGCAGCACGAGAAAAAAAGAGAGGCACGTATAGGTGTAGTTTGTGTGGCTCTTTGCTCTGTTGCACCTGAGTGTCTGATACAGGGCAAATAATGGATGTGAAACTGATCAGGGGATGAAATCCGACACAGTGTCCATGCGGTCGGTTTGGTGACACTCCCATAAATTCCATTCATCCACTATAAATCCAGCTTTGCGCACCCTGAGATACACACTTTAACATGTCGTTGCTTTACTTGAAGGAAATGGCTACAACCGTCTTTATTGGACCACAATGGACTTCACTTTCCCTGTGAAAAAACCAACTCATTTCCTTCAATCCAGCTCATTACTTGGAATATTAGCACAATCACAATGGCTCTATGTTGACATGTTAAAGTAACAATGTAAAGCTCATAGCATGCAAACTCCTCCACCTGTCCCGAGTTTTCACTAATGCGTCTCTGTGACAGAGGTCGTCACAGCTCCTGGTCCGTCCTGCGGTCAGCTGCGGGTCGATAGGGTGTGTGGATCCTCTTTGGAGACAGCGTGTCTCCGAACAGCCTTTTGTCTGCGTTACGTTTGAGTGACAGCAAAGAAGAGGTTCCCTATATTTAGGCCCCTGAAAACCAATCTCTGTCCCTGTGTGTGCGTGAGTGTGTGTGTGTGTGTGTGTGTGTCCTCAGCCCGTTTAAAGGCAGCTCTCTTCAAAGACTGAAAGTGCCCTTTGTGCTGAGGTTAGAACTCTGGAGTGTATATTGAGCGTACGGAGAACGTCTACACGTGATGACAGACGAGTGTATCTGTGTAGGCGGGGTATAAAGAAATAGCATGTGTGTGCGTGTGTGTGTTTTTTGTGTGGTGTGCACTCAAGAGGACCGATTTGAGTGGGCTAGTCCAGACATTCAAGATTAGAATCAGGTTTATGTTGTGTCCTAAATATTCAGATGTGATGGTTTTAGCTGGATTCTCTATGTCAGTGAGTAGGAATAGAAGTATACCTGTTTCTGTGATAATGAATGCCATCCCTGAGGCAACAACAAATATGGTGTGTGTGAAAGAGTCTGATCTGTGTTTTTGATAGTGTCTGAAAGCATACTGCACACACACACACACTCACACACAGACACACACACACAGTTCAGCAGTTTGAGCCGGAGTAATGGTATCTATGTGGCTGTTGGGGTTTGATGGGGAACTTTTTCAAATATATCCTGTTTATAAAAGCTTTAAGTATGTACAGAAACAGACAAATTTAAGTTGTGCCTATGTTACTTTGTCAATTAAAATATGCTAACTTTGAGAGTTAACCTGACGTGACAGCTAAAAGAAATAGACACAAATTGACATATTTTTTATATCATTATTAGTAATATTATCATTTATTTCTGTCATTTCTTCCTTTTTGTGTGGAGTTTGCATGTTCTCCCTGTGTCCGTGTGGGTTCTCTCCGGGTTTTCCGGCTTCCTACCACAGTCCAAAAATGCAGTCGAAAAATCTGCCTAAAAAATTTAGGTTGATTGGACATTCCAAATTGCCTTTAGGAGTGAATGTGAGTGGTTGTTTGTCCTTGTGTGTCTCTGTGTTGCCCTGCGATGGACTGGCGGACTGTCCAGGGTGACCCCGCCTCTCGCCCATTGACCACTGGGATAGGATCCAGTTTCCGCATGACCCCAATTCGGGAATTAGCTGTTATTATAATGGGCGGATGTTTAGGACCCATATTACTGTTTTTTTTTCACATGTCGGATCTGGTTTTTCCACCCTCCGGTCTTCAATTACATCCATTTGAAAGTGAAGTAAATATTGAAAATATTCTGAAAATGGTCCCCCCTAAAAGTTGTTCTTTGTTAGTTTAAGAGTCATTCCTTAGCAGGGAAAGGATATACGACATATTTAATTCTGACTATATCTGCTCACCATGTGGTGCTGCTCTCCATGCCTGCACTCCATCAAATGTTCGCTGTTTTTCTTTTTATCACTCTTTGTGTTCAGGCATCCTGCCATCTCTTCTTACTCTGTCAAAGCGCGATGAGTGATCTCTAACACTGTGCGCCTGCACCTTGTCTCTTGCAGAATAAGATCCTGAACAGAACCGGTTGCTGTCCAGTTTGCACTGAAAGTGAGTAAGTCCATCTCATTGGAGTATCCTCTAATGTCTACTTTTTTTTTCTGAAAAGGACTTGATTTCACGACTAAAATGTAAAAAACTAACACCTGAAACATATAAACGGGAGTTTATTTTTTGCTGATGTGGAAATGGATTCCGAAGTCTTGATAACCTGCTTGTATTACTGTAAACGGTATTTATAAAGGTAATTATAAGCTAAAAACCTCCACTATAAATCGTCTCTCTGAAAAGCAATGTAAACAAACCTCAGTGCAGCATCTTTAGATTTGGTTGAGTATTCCCCATGCACTTCAGTCCAGACTGTGGTTTGCCCTCAGGTCATTTTTCTTTAGCTTTTTACTTCTAACTGAAGCAGAGACTCCCCCAAATCCTCTATTTTGGGAACACAAATGCCCCATAAACCTCACTTGTACATAATATAAAGTTTAGTTTCAGCTGGTAAGGCAGACGTTTCACCACACCACAGATGCTGATCCCACTTCTGAGTGAGTCAGATTAGTGCCACATATTTCAGCATTTATCATAAATTACGTTTGTGCAGGAGCCTGTCAGCTTTCAGCATGCGTCTTTTTAAAGCCCTGCACTTTGGGTTGTCTCTTGAGACCCACTGCTGCTACTTAAAAGTAAAAATAGATTCATATTCTCTGTAACCGATCTTTTGTGTGTGCGTATCACAGCATTTTTTTTCATCGAAATTTGGCACTGTCTCTCGCCCTCCCCAGAGCCAGGCGTGTGCACGGTCTTTGGCGACCCGCACTACAACACCTTCGATGGCAAGACCTTCAACTTCCAGGGGACTTGTCAGTATGTGCTGACGCGTGACTGCGGCGGCATCTCCTCTGGAGGGCCGGGGAATAACGTCAACAGCCCAGACTCCAGCTTCACGGTAGGATGCGACTTCAGTCCTCAAAGGGTTGCATGATAAAGGTTCGGGAAAAAAACAGAGAACTTCTGCAAAAAAACGTCAAAATACTTATCTTCGTATTGACATGTTGCGGCTTGTTGGTTCCTAAGCTTGACACCAAAACAGATACCTGTTTGGAGAAGGCCGAACTCACTCAGGCAATTCCTCACGCTTGTAACTGTAGCGACAATCCGTCAGTAGATCAGGCAAGAGCTACTTCTAGGAAAAGTAGAGTACTTCTCAACTTTTCCACTCAGAGCTTTGAAAGCAAAGTGAAGCAAAACACAAGTTACTCCCCGTTCAAAGGGAATGCTGACACTTGAATTGAGTTCTTAAATTGTTAGAATTCTTCTGTTGGTTTTACAACGTGCTAAACTAGTCTCCTATTAGCCTCTTGGTTTTCCTTTGATTGACTGCAATGAAGTGCTTGTTATTTGGGAAAAAAGATTTATTTTGGGGGGGAACTGTATCTTTTTCAGGTAGATAATCAAAGCAGCTCACACTTTTGTCGGTTTTCGTTTGTGGTATTGCAGGTGTTGGTGAATAATAACGCTCGTCGGACTCGCTCCTTTTCCTGGACTCAGTCTGTGGAGGTGCGGTTGGGCACGCTGATCCTCAGCCTGCACCAGCACCTGACGGTCCGAAAGAACGGCACCCGCATCGCCCTGCCTTATCACGGACCCGGGGTGCACATCGATCTGGACGGATATCTGCTCAAGCTCACCGCCATCGCAGGTCAGGAAACAGAGTTTTTGGGGAGACATGGAATAACTGGATACTCACTTACTATCACGCATCTAAAAGGAAAAGAAGGAAGTCAAGACTTTGTGGAGTTTGACCGTGCTTTGCTTTGTTCGACAAAGAAAAACTTTACCTAAAATTTCTTTTTGGCTCATCACTGTTGCATAAACCTCCGCCTACAGGTTTGGAGATCACGTGGGATGGTGACAGTTTTGTGGAGGTTGTCGCTGCTCCTCACCTGCGTGGACGCCTCTGCGGCCTTTGTGGCAACTACAATGGCCACAAGCGCGATGACACCATGGGCGGCGACGGTCAGTTCAAGTTCGACGTGGACGAGTTTGCGGAGTCGTGGCGGGTTGACGGAAATGAGGTTTGCTCCCAGCAGCAGCCACCTCGCAGGCCAACGTCTTTCCTGTGCTCGGGCAGCGTTAAAGTCAAATTCCGGGCACACCGGGAATGCCAGAAGATAAAATCATGGGAGTTTCAGAAGTGCCACCGAGCAGTGGACTTTGGCCCTTTTTACAGGTGAGGATTGGGCGATATCTGCTGTAAAGGAAATAAAAAACTCTCTCAGGCCCGCTTTTTTTCCCATTTTACCAGTATCTCATAAAATCACTTCAACACAAACTACCAACAAGAGATGTTCGTGTTGCACCACTGATCAGTGTATCACGCGCTGTGTTTTCGTAATCTTGTGTAAACTGAACCAAAAAAACCTCCGCAGGTCGTGCGTGACCGACATGTGTGAGTGTCCGGTCCATAAAAACTGCTACTGCGAGTCCCTCATCGCCTACAGCCGGGCCTGCGAGAGGGAAGGGGTGCCCGTCCTGTGGAAGCCTGACAATGTTTGCATGGGTACGTGACACCACTGTTAGGCCGTGCTGTTTGGGAGCAACTAGGGACTATTAAAACAGGACAGATTTTTTTGAAAAAGCAATAAGGATATCCACCCTGGCTGGCCCCTATGTTCTGGTTCACCTCTTCAGCGTTTTATGAAGGAGTTCCAAAGAGGAGTAAATGAAACCATTAAAATCCCATATTGTTGTTTTTGGTTTTCCCTTTTTTTCATTTTGTGTTTCTTCTTTAGTGTAATGAAGTCCTTTAATTTTTTCTTTGAATTTGGGAATTAGATTGGCTCTTTTAATGGTGCTTTTAACTCAAATAGTTTATTTTATTATGTGAAAATGAGGATCTCTGTATAACATAATAACAACTATCTTTAAACCCTCTTTTTGTAAGTCGCTTTGGATAAAAGCATCTGCTAAATGCATAAATGTTAATATAACTCTATTGAAGGATTTATTGACAGACTTGGTATTGTGTCACTACACATCTATAATAATATATAACTGTACATAACTAATGGACTTCTCAAAGAGTATATATTTATACTTTCTGTTTCACATTAATGCCAGATGCATCAGTATTACTTGAAAATAAACTCCATAAATCAGATTGGTTCTTCAGCACTGTTTGAAAACAGATGTTTTCAGACAAAGACAATCGAAGTAACGTTTCTTTATTGTATCAAAAGAAACGTTTATGACTTTGGCGCTGTTTCTGATTCACGATAGTGATGTTTTACAAAGTTTAAAAGTTTGGTTATAAAGCCAGCAGGAATGATTCAAACCTATGTCAGCATGATCGAAATAAAGGAGACCATACTTAATATGCTTTCTAGAAAAATAAGCATAGTTTAACAACACAACTATTTCTAACTATTTTAATGGCTACTTATGCCACAACACTGTCTCAAATCAAGCAGACACGCAACCTGTTCTAGTCTGTCATGTCTTTTAACATCTTTTCTCTCTCTCTCTCCTCCCTCTACCAGCCACCCAGTGTAAACACGACGCCGTGTACAACACCTGTGGTCCAGGGTGCACCAAAACATGCGACAACTGGAACGAGATCGGCCCGTGCAACAAGCCCTGTGTGGCCGGCTGCCACTGCCCCGCCAACCTGGTGCTGTTTCAGGGACGCTGCATCAAGCCCACGGCCTGCCCCGGCCGGTGACCCCTGTTACTCAGGCGGGAGCGGGGGGGAATTCTCCGGAGGGGTCAACTGTGGTGTCCACAGCAAAGGCCGGAGCGCCGCAAGTCCACAGATTAGATGCGCCAAGGTACTCAGGGTCCATAGCTTTGCAAAGAAACATGTGGGAGTGATTTCAGAATCAGAGGTACAAAACTGCGAGGACAGCTGCTGCGAGATTCCGCCTCCTCATGCTTCTCGTGAAGCCAAATTACCACCGTCGATCTTGTGGAAGAAAAGCGGAATTCCCAAGAGAAAACTCAGGGCCCCATCTTGAGATTTCATATCTGAGGAACACTCAGCGCGTAACCATGGATCCTCAGGAATTGGTTCGGGCCAAAGGACTCCTACTAGAGCCAACATAATGTCTACGCTTCTCCTGCAAACACTAATATGGGAAACTGGGCATCTGCATTTGGAATAGCAAGACTGAATGTTGAGAAACTCTTATCAAACTGCCCTCATGACCATCACCATTTCATACTGTAAGCTAACCAGATTTATATGAGACAAGATGGCTTTTATATTATTATTATTATTGCTCTAATTATTAATATTTGTTGTTAATATTGTTAATTTATATCAGTCAAATGACATGTTGTAGCAAGAGCCAGAATCACAAATATTATTTCATTCTAAATGATTTAAAGGGAAAAAAAGAGCTATTTATGTTTTTGTTGTGTATCTTGGTGTTACTGTTTGAAGAGAAATGCCCAAATGTGACTTAAGTTGTTGCACCATCGCAGGGAAAAAAGTACTGTATTGTATTATGTTCCGTGTACAGGTTATTGTGGATAGTACCAAACTGAAGGTGTTCATGTAAACATATGTTTCAATTGACGATGATTATTTAAGACCAGCAATATAATCTTTTCTTGAAGTTCATATTGACCTCCGTCATCATTCATGCATACATGAATAATAAATAATAAAAGCTACACATGGAGCGACAATCGGATGCACCAGAAATAAAGAAGGAATCCGTCAAAATTTAAGAAGAAATAAAAGATTAAAGAGCTTTAATGAAATAAGAATTTGAATTTAATTACTAACTTTTTTCCCCTGTAATCTATTAAAAGATTCCTTAATGAATTGATTTTTAATTTATTGCGTTATCTTTGTTATGGATGGTGGCATTGCCAACAATAATAGTAATAATAGACATTTTCATGCCATACAGAAGTAAATATCAATGATTTGTGGCTGGTGGTTCTGTACAATAAATCAACCAAAACTATTAAAATGAACATATCAAACTATTACAATGACATTTTAAAACTTTTAATACACTTCAGGTGTACAAACCAAATTCACAAGCACAAAGTGATCTAAAATAAAAACAGAACAACAATTAACCAAAGTTCACAAGACAACAAGAGTTAAAACATTAAAGAAGTATGTCCATGTTTCATTCATCTTCCTCTTTAAAAGTGGATGCATAACAACAGCATGGCAACTGGAGGCTGGTACAACTCTTTATATCTCAAATACAACCATTTTTTCTTTTTTTAAAGATGTTCAGACAGCAAAAAAGTGATTAACTAAATTTACTCGTTCAATCCAAACAAATCAGTAGCAGTTATCCAGAGAGCAACGCACCCGTTTTAGACTGAGGAAAGACTGAAGCTGCCAGCTACACCTGTTAAAGACCATTTTCTTTTACACCACACTGTCATTTTTAATGTAATGACGCAGAGCTCCCATAAACAACTCAGTGTTCCAATCTGAAAGTTTACATTTGCGTGTTTGCAATGACAGTGCTGCTCTCTGAATAATGCTGAACTCTACTGTAAACGAAGCCAAACCACAAATGTTTCTGCAGATAAAGGTGAAAAAATCAGTTTCATTACTTAATGTGACCTAAACTGTCTAAAGGTACAAACCAATGTAGTTACACACTGACGCCACACACTGAACATTCCTTCACATCTCTCACATTATCAGTACATCTCTTTGGCATTTTCAGGAAATGACACATTCATCTTTCATTTCTAAACGGAAATGCTGTAAGGCTTTGAAAAATACTAAGATGCATTGTAGTCCTGGATCAAAAACATTGTGTTGTATCTTCTGTTTGAGAATACATATTCTGAAACAGAGGATATTGCATATTTCATATTGTTCCTCTTTTAAACACACATGATTTTTCTATGTCACTGTGACAAAGTCCCTTTAAAACAACACTTTTCATTCAGTTAGTGAGATGAGAAAAGTTAGAAAACTTTAAGTGTACTGCACTTTAAGTCAGTGACCACTTTCTTCATAAAAAGATAATAGAATAACATTAATTCATGAACCTGTGTGTGTGAACTGGGGACAATGGGTGTCCTCTAAAGGGCTTCATGGTGACACTGATTGATAACAGTAAACTGCTCATTTTAATCTTTAGCTCCAAAAAAAGAAAAAACATTAAGCTAGCGTGGTTGACTTCCTTTGTTTATTCCTCTGAGGTGAAGCGGCAGGAGTGCATTTGTTCTACTATGTAACTTAGCTGCTGAACGCAGAAAACAGAAGATCTTCCAGACAAGGAGTTAAAGCTAAACTTCCATTTGTCGTCATAATCGCAGCAGCCTAATTAAATCATTCCTTTGTTTCTGCAGGTTCTTTAGCTTTTTGTGCCCTCGTGTGGAGAAGAAAAATATAAAAAATATATAAACCAGCAAAAGGTTGTGTTGTTCAACCAGCCATTTCAATACTGATGGGTCTGATTGAAAGTTAAACAATTAGCATCTTTGGCAGGTAAAATTGCTCCTTTTTAATGAGTGGCTTTCTTAATGGTGGACAGGAGCAGTTAAGCCTGTTAATGTGTGAGCTCACAGAGGGCTGATCTTTCAGGAAAATCAGCAAAGCTGCACTCATAGAGAGGGATTTCTTTTCGTGGTCGTTAAAGAGTAATATCGAATCAAATTGCCAGTAGGCTGAGATAAGAAACATGACCCTCATATTACTTATTATCTGGTGACATACAGTAACTTTTGAGCTTGCTCATTGTTGTTCATTTTAGATGTCGGCGGTCACAATGTTATAGCTGAACAAAGAATCTGAAGACCCACCACTATATGGAAATTTCCCCTCAGTTTGGTAAACTAATTGATAAAGAGAAGCTGGTAAAGTTGCTCTATTGTGTCTTTGTGTAAACAGATGCAGAAATAAAAACCCTACATTTCCCTTTACTAGATTAAAAAGCCTCTACTGTCTTAACAAAGACATCATTCCTGCTGCCTCATTCCATTTGAGGAGACTTTTAAAATCTAATTATAATTAGTTAATGCATTCCGGAGAAACTTTCAGCCTTACAACTGATGTTAAAAATTAGTTGATGACATGAAAATTATGGATAAAACTGTCCTTCAAAGTAGAAGGCAGTAGCTTGATGTATTGACCTTTAGTGTAAAAAGGAAATTGGGGAAAGTGTAAGGAGCTATTTGATAGTCACACTATTGACAGTCACACTACCATGAAAGACAAAAACAAAAAGTGAACAAAACTAGCTTCTTTTAAGTACTGAAAATATGTTTTAAACACTCTAATATAGAATCTTCCAAGCGTCTCACGTAAAACTACTTTTTTTCTAGAGTTACAAACCAAAATATACATCTAATAAAAAATACACTCCGCTCTGGCCATCTTTAAGAGAGTACTAAAATAACATTTTAAAATACAGTCAAAACAAAATGTAAATCTGAGGTAAAGGAACACGGCAAAGCAAAAAAGTGAACCGAGTAAAGGAGGGGAGAGAGGAGTGTGGAGAGGGGCAGACTGGCCGCATGAGTTCAGTCATCATCGCTGTCACTGCCCGACTCGCTGAGCTGAAGATCGTTTCCTGTGACAACCAGAAGACAAAGCAACAGGTGAAAACGTTTCCTTCGAAGAGTTTCATTAAGGAAAGGAGTCTCTATATGTTCTTCTGCTGGAGGACAAATGTCTATCAGATAACGCCACAGCACACGACCAAACAAACAGATGCACGACTGCCAGAACACAAAGTATAACTGGGAGATGCTCACGCAGGGTGTTTATGAGCTGGTTGTTGCCTTGCTGCCGGTCGGCTCCTCCGTTGGCCATGGGGTGGCGGCTGGGAGAGGTCTGGCTGAGCGGCCGCGGGGCGTCTTGCTCGCCGTCGCTGCTGCTGTCGTCGCCGCTCCCCGAGGCGCTGGCCGAGTCGGAGGAGCTGCTGCTGCTGCTCATCTGCTCGATCACCTCCACCTCGGCCCGCAGCTCTGTGGACACAGCGGATCGTTCATGCTTTCCACTGACGGAATTATTCAACACCTCAACCGTGCAAAATGAAGTAAGTCCCTTTACACACTGGACCTGCTCACCTCTCTTTATATCGTCAAGCTGAGGCTCCGGGGAGGGGTTGTCTTTAGACGGGGAAGGGGATGTTTTGATCCCAACCCCAGGTTTGGTCGGCGCCCGGAACTGTGAGCTGGGCTGGGTGGAACGAACTGACTGCTGCTCAATTCGAGCCTGGATCTTACTGCTCCCCTCAGCCCTGACAAAAGAAACACACATCAGTCGTCTCTGACCACTCACTATAATGATAACGCTCCTGGACAACCATGTTTTACAAACATTAGTACTCACCTTGTTTTCTTGACTTGAATGCTGCTGCTAAGCTTCTCCAGAACAAACTCTCCAGTATCATGGTTTATGATTAGCACACAGTCTTTCTGATACGGCCGCTTGTTTCCCTTAAAGACTGTCATTGGAGGTGTGGAGCCCTAAGAGGAAACACAAGAAAAGTCACTATTTACTCTTGAAGTTTATTTAATCATAAATTAGAGGGTGCCATAATTATATGGGAGTCAGTTTTGACCTGGACAGACAACCCCAGAAAGCAATTTTAGGTGTGTTAAATCTTCAACAATGGGAAAAAAACATATTATGTCTTACTGGAATATGAGGTAGCGTTATGGTAACTTCATCTCCTTTTCCAACTTGTAGCTCTCCCTCACAGCTTGTGTCAATAGATGCTGGTTTGAAGTCATCTAAAAAAGAAATCAGAACAGTAAGTTGAGTGATTCATTCAGCTAATGGTGACTGAAAAAAACACAAACACAGATGAGCAGGATAGGGTTAATCCTCAAATCCCTAAAAAACAGAAAACATATATATATAATTTGGTTCCTGTTTTTTGTTTCTAAAAAGGATAATGAAATGTTACAGGAAAAACATGGTCCGATATTTTCTTTATAAATTATATAAATAACTTTTTATCCACATCCTTCATGTTCACGTGGGGGAAAAAATCGTCTTGCACAACAGTTTACTTTTGGCCGTGCCTCGTTGCTATTGTTTACACACACTGCGGGGACTCACATCTGATGGTGTGAAAGGAAGATTTTGGCCGCTTCTCAAAGCTTTCTCCAAGCTTCAGAACGTGCTCCTCTTTATCCAGAAGCGGATTCGTACTCCCGTTCATGGTACCGTTATTTCAACTTTGTTCAAATTCACATTTATTTCAAATGCAAAGCAAGCCCAAGAGATGTCAGAGACAATCGAATGTTAACATAAAGCTAGCTTGCAGAGGCTAACCTTTAGCAAAACAACGCTTTCGTCACCTGATCACGGGTTTCCGCTTCTGGTCCCACACCGTGTTTTCACCGAAGATAATGTACAGGATAAACATTAGCTGCTATTTGTCTTTAAAATATACCAGCCAGATATTTTAAATTTAAATTGTATTTTTAAAAACTTTCGATGCGTTTTCACATTTAGTTTTATATTATAATTCACGACATTATGACAAAGACACGTCTATGTATTAGATGACAAATCATAAACACTACACGGAAGAATTTTAGGAACGGACAAAATGGACTCTGTTGCAAGAAAAATGTAGCCATGCGTACAAGAAAAATGGTCTAACCTTTATCGATTATCTGCTGAGAGGAGGTAAAGACTGTGTTTTTAAAGCAGCATGGCTCTTTCGACACATGATAAAGGCAGGGTCAGTATCGAACATGGCGAAGAAGGGAAATCGTGTGAGAAAATGACTCTTTGCGTCCCCGGACAAACGAAGACATCCAATGCCAAAGAGTTAACCCAGGAGGATCTGGACAAGCTGGGCAGTGAGCGAGCTCTGGTGTCCGACTTCAAACAAATGAAGTTAGAAAAGGATGCACAGAAAAACTGGGACTTGTTTTACAAAAGAAACACGACGAATTTCTTCAAAGATAGGCACTGGACCACCAGGGAATTTGAGGAGCTCAAAGCCTTTCGAGAGGTGAGTCAAGGTAGTTTTCAAAAGTGTAAAAAGGCGAAAAATAACTGAACCTCTCTGTAATAAAAATCACTCAGACAAACGAGCCATATAATTGTTATAGATGCTACTTAAAATTCAAAATGACAGTTTTACATCATATTGTATCTGTCAATTGTCCTTTCATTTTCTATATTTCAGTTACCGCAGTGGTTTTACTGAAATATCAAACTGTAGGAATAATACATATCCAACTCCAAATCGTGCTCTATTTTCCTATAAATACTTAAATGAATTAATTTTTTAGTTTTTATTTTATGTATCTTAGGGAGGATGGTTTATTTTGATGCTCATGCATGTATGGGATGTTACACTACTCTCATAAAAAGAATTCTCCATGTCAGTCCTGCAAACGTGCAGCCCATCGTTTGAATTTTTTGTCATGTTTAAAACGTCATCAATCAGACATGTGGGGTAGTCTCAGCTCAGAAGTGATAGACATAGCTGTCAGGCTCACAATCATCTCTGGTGCTTTAAAGAGAAATGGCTTGTATTGTAATCAGCAGATTGAATCTTATGCCAAAAATGAATAAAGTGATGATCAGTGTTGGTGTGACTGTCTCTTCATGTTGCTTTTGTCCTGGTTTGCTCGCAGTTTGAGTCCCAGAGATTGGTGCTGCTGGAAGCTGGATGCGGTGTAGGAAACTGCATCTTCCCTCTGCTGGAAGAAGACCTCACCATCTTTGTTTATGCCTGCGACTTCTCACCACGAGCTGTTGAATTTGTTAAGGTAACAGGTTTTTTTTAGTTCACCTGGTAGCTGTACATCATCTATTTTTTTTCTATTTCTTATCAAAGCATTGTTGGTTTTGAATAAAGCAGCTTCACCCTCTTTTGTTTGACAGCAAAATCCTCTGTACTGCCCTGAGCGCTGCTGTGCTTTCCAGTGTGATCTGACTAAAGACGATCTGATTGAAAATGTGCCCAAGGAGAGTGTGGATGTAGTCACACTCATCTTTGTTCTGTCGGCTGTTCATCCTAACAAGATGACGCAGGTTCTGGAGAATATCAGCAGGGTAAGAACAGAGAAAAACAAAAGTGCCTATTTTATGTTTTTAGGTCAGTAATCGTGCATGTATTATGTCTTTAGATGCATTTCTGATATGTCTAAAATCCAATGTGTGTAAAACATGCTTCATTTGATAGGTCATTTGTAGATCCTTGCATTTATTTGGTTATTTTCCACTGAAATAATGTTGCATGTGCGGGGTCTAAAAACCAACTCTAATTATTCTGTGACTGTTAGGTGCTTAAGCCTGGAGGCATCGTCCTTTTCCGGGACTATGGCCTGCACGACCACGCCATGCTCAGGTTTAAATCGGGCAGTAAGCTGGGGGAGAACTTCTACGTCCGCCAGGATGGAACACGGTCCTACTTCTTCTCTAGAGGTGAGGAAACTACTTTTTGAAAGCTTTTTTCTTGATTTTCATTGATGTCCTTTTTTGCTTTATTTGTTTGTAAATGAATAGACTGGGTGAGTGGTGTGGGCAGAAAGTCAGGTAGAAGGTTCTGGATATCACAGCAGTTACAGTTGGACTGAGTGGTTAAATCAGATCTTACATCTTTGGAAAGTCAAATGCACCATTCCTTCTCAATATGGCAGAAATATTGGTCATTCTTGATTTAAGTCTAAATCTGTTCTTTTCCAACCTCTCCCAGAGTTCCTGGCTCAGCTGTTCGAGGAGGCGGGCTTCCAGTCTGTGACTAACGACTACGTTCTGAGAGAGACTGTCAACAAGAAGGAAGGCCTTTGTGTTCCGAGGGTGTTTCTGCAGAGCAAGTTCACCAAACCCGCACAGACACACTCCTGATCACGTCTGGCCTCCTTACAAATCACCACAGTTATGGCAGAAGACACACACTCATGGAACACCAAGCCTGGAAGAACATCATTAAGTATGGCCTCAATGCAGTTTTGCTTATTGGTGGAAATATGCCGAATTTCACCATTGAGAGCATCACAAAAGGTTTTTTATCTAAGGGCTGATGTGGTTAAAAACCAATGGACAATCCAAACACACTTTGTTTAGATGTGTTTGATCAGTGATGGCTTCAGCCTGAGAAGACTTCAATGTATTTACTCTGTAAGATACAAACTATTTTTATTGGTCCACTGTAAAAAAAAAAAAAAAAAGTTATTTTATTTTTTTGTATACTGATATTTGTCTGCTTATGATAATAAACACTGAATCTGTGTATATCATTGACTACAGCAGTAAAAGTCTATTAAAGGGAGATTTCTTATGTTATGGGTTGTCTTTCACTTCCTCCTCCTATTTTTTGTTCACATTTGTGGCCATTTATATCCCACTTTGTCGGTTTATAATTAATGTAGTTTATTGTTAATCCAGATCAGATATTACTGATATAATGGTATTGTTACTCTGAATGCAGTTTTCTCAAAATGTTCATGTGTTTTGTAAATAGATACAGTTTGACTTATCAAACCTGTAAATGACTTAGAATCAAAGTACTTTGTGTCCCAGGATGTTTAAAAGTGCTCACTTCATGCAGCCGATAAGGGTCCACTCTAAAAAGCACCTATGGTGCTCTTTGCAGCCCGGTTTCTGTGTGGTTTCCTGTTCTGCAGCTGTGTCACCCTCTGATTTCTTTCTGAAGAGCAAATGGAAAGTTCCTAGTGCATCTACAGACAGAACTACCCACCTCAAAGCATTTGAAGACCGTTAACCAAGTCCTTTCAGATATAATCATAAACCTGTATGACTGCAATTGTGACATGTTGTTTTGACAAGTAAAAAAAAAAGTGTATTTGTTTATATAGTTTCCAAGTTAAAAAATAATATATGTTTTTTCTCAGTCTGTCTCACTTATAACATTTATATTATTTCTCTTATATTAGTTTATTAAACATAAATAATACCTTGGCAATTCTTTAAATGTCAGATAATCATATTAAACATGTTCTTATTGATCCTCATTCAAGCAAGGATTTGATATTAAACCTAATCAAGTTAGAATATTAGACTGGATCACTTCATTCTGGATACTTCAGTGAAGCAGAGTTTAGTAATAACTGAAGTTTATGTCTTTTCGCAAGCAGCTGGATCCTTTATGAGAAAAAAAGATGTATCGGTTATCAGGCTGAAACATGTAGTTTATCTCTATTCAGTGTTGAAATGTCCTGAACATTTTGTCAGTCCTATTTTCAATTAAATATTTTACAATTATATACTTATTATTACAGTGCATAGTCATAAAAAATATCTGCAAAGCAATGCAAGCCAATAATACTAATTCCTTGTAATAAAATCAAAGCGAGTTTAGTAGGGGACCAATAGATTGCACCTCTTTTCCCACTTCAACCAAATATCAGCCTTGAGCATGTAAAGATGTTTGCGAGAAAAACAAAAACTCCCCCTTCAAGGGAAGGAACCTCTGACAGAAGCCAACCGAAGGGGAACGAAAATCCACCTTGACCAGTTCCGGTTTGAGAGACGCTGCAGAGAACAATGGAAAATGCGGTTTGACCCACCGAACGTAGAGCATATGCTGCATTTAACCTCACTTTGAAACGGGTTCAGTTATTGAAACAGTTTCCTGTGCTGTGGTCGTGCTCACACATTTGCCACAGACACAGCTAAAGACAAACTGGTTCAAGTGTTTATCTGAACTCACATCTGCACAGCTACTCTTGATTAATATAGAGGCTGTAAATCTGACAGGGTAAACTTTTTAATGGGGTCATCTGTGTCGATACAAGGGTATATATATATATATATATGTATATATATATGTGTGTGTATACAGTAAAATATACAGACTATACAGTAAAATGACATTTTTATTCTTATTTTTTCAAAGAATTGAGAAAAACATGGTAAAAAGAAGATGCTTTCAGTCTACAAATTTGCATGACAGGATAAAGAATTCATAATGTGGAACATGAGAACATGTGAAAAACGTTATTTACTCTCCAACGATGATGGTGATAAAGTGCCCCATCGCTGTCTCCTCACCCCTGTTGCACTCAGCCTTGCATTGGTATCGACCACTATCCCCTGCTGTCACTCTGAAGATCTTCGTCACAATCAGTCTGCTCCTCCGGTTGTTTCCCATATCCGTCTCATTCACCGTGGTGAAATATTTCCGGGGGTCGGTCAGCTCAATGTTTTTTGCAGTGTAAAGCCAGAAGACATCTATCACTTCACAAAGCTCAAAGTTATAATTTGCTTTGCAAGACAGTTCGGCCGATGAACCTTTGAGATGACGGAAGGTCTTCTGATGGTACACGATCTCCAGGGAACCTGCAACATAAAGTTGCTAAATTAATTTAGCTTAAATCTTATTTCATTGTCAAAGATTTCTTTAAAACATATTAAAAGAAGTGTATGACAACCCCTAGCACTATGTAAACATTGTTGAAACTCTTATAAAAGTAGTGATATTTTAAAGAATTCATAAATTTCATCCTGAATTATTATATTTGGATTAGCTTTTATTTAAGGATTATTTATCTCATTCTAACAATTAACATTTAGTAATATTTGCAGTTCAGCACGTGGTCGTGATCATTTTGAAACAGTAGCAGGATTTTAGATTTTTTTTTTTTTTTTTCTCTTATTATTTTCTTTCTTAGCATTTGTATGTTAATGTAATAAAAAAAAACATGCATTTTAACATCAAACATCCGGGGCCTTTTTTTGTTATTCTTTGTCATTTTGTTTTGGACAAAATCGTGTCTGATTAATATTTTTGGTTTGAATAAAACATTAACATAGACATATATGCCAAGTTGGCTTATAAAAAAAACTGTCTAATACTGATTTAATACTTCACAAATACCTATTTTTAAATATTACCGGAAAAGCTTTAAACTTAACTGAAACAAATTGTTTGATGAACAACTTTGTTTTAGGATTATTGGAGCAGATGTATATTTTTCAGATGAGATAATATCCCTCTCCTCTGCCACTCTGGGTTTACTGACCTGTGTCCTGAGCAGACAAAGGAAACAAAGTGATCAGCAACACTGTAAGTCCAGGGATGAAGAAGGCCATCCTACAGGGCGAAGACACACCGCACACGAGATGAGCACGAGGACGACAAATGTCGCACTCGGTTACTGATTTCACTTTTACCAAGATGCACAAATGTCACTGCCTGCTGCGTTTACGTGGGTTCCTTGATGTGTGGGTGGAGGGTGTGTGTGTGTGTGTGTGTGTGTTTCTGCGCTCTGTGATGCAGCCGTGTCTGCAACCCTTCTGTACTACCTCTGCCTTATGTTGCTTCTTTGCTAAGAACATTTACAGTTTTAAAAAAATCACATTATTTGCATGTTATTCCCACTTCAAATCTACCTGTGTGTAACTTTTATTGAAGAACTTGAGTTTTTTTAAGCACACAAACATCCATTTGAACATACCTACAGTAACTCAAAGTCTCTAAAGCGTCTTTTAAATGGAAATTTTAATCTCGAAATCTTTTCAATTGGTACCATATAAGATCTCTTCCTTAAAAGGTCTCCTAATGTATCAGATAACTCCTGGTAGTCTTATAGAATATGAAGTTAGAAAGGTAAGCGTGGATGGCAGATATTAGCACTTTGATGGAGCGACTTTTCCATTTCTCTGTATAAACCAGAGATGGCGCCGTCGCTCGCAGTGGAGACAGCTCTGCAAGAAACAACACACACATAGTCATCAAAACTACCAAAAGCTGAAAATCTATGGCTGGCCTTGTCTGTTTTGTATGAATTATTCTCCTTGCTCACTGTTTTTAGCCTGAGAGGCAGTAGCTGAATACATATTAAAGGATCCCGATCAGAGGCAACAATCCGGACACATCAGTAAAATTGTAATTTAATAGTTTATATCGTACTTTTATATTGTACTCTAATAGTTTAAATACATTTCAAGAGGCGAACATTAACTATAAATTGTTTAGAGTAGTTATATTCATCATGATGTTTTCTACAAAAATGGGATTTTTGCTGGCCTCGCAGTTTCCCAGACATTGACTCACCCAAAGCTGGCTCAGTGGTTGGGCCTGTGCTCCTCATACACACGCACAGACACACATATCATAGACATCCCTTTTTTTGGTATAAACTTTGCTGACTTAGCTGTGTACTGTAACAATTCGTTTTAACATTTTGGTGACAGGATCTGCACGAAAAACAAGAAAAAAACACAGAAGATGACTAACACTAAAGACACAGGAAATGGTGTCATAAAATATGTTTTGATGGAGTAGTACATCACGAGGATGTATTAACTTTATAATAAAATATTGTATAGTATATGTTGATAACCATTTTCATCAGTATAAATTAAACTTTTCCACTTACACATCAATTTGGGCTTTGCAGAAAATGAAAAAAACTGAAAGGAAGACCTAACTATACAAGTGTTTGTGGTTAATCTTCTTTTTAGCTCCTATTATTTCCTATTCCCAGTAAGATCTTTTTATTCGATAATGCAATGACTTCCCAATGATCTATTTGATAAAAGCACTAAGAACAGCTGATGTCACACTAAAATCGTTTTAGAACATATAGGGCCATATTTGGCCAAAGCAGTGGATAGAATTTTTTTTAACACACAAACGTCTGTTTTTTTTTCCTGTAATTCATCCCTCTCTGACACCTTGGGGAAATTTTTGGGACCTTTTAAAGTCTTCATTTCCTGTCGGTCCAGTCATACAGTGTGAATAATGGGCACAGCGTTTTTCTTTCTGCCCATGTTTGGCAACACAAACGTCACTGTTGGAAGATGCAATAAAGGGAAGTATTACCATACCCTCACACATAAAACAACTGAAAACAAAGGCAATTGTTAAACACTGATTTAAGACTGCCATCGAAAAGATAATGGCGACAAGAGCTTATGTCAATTTACCGATCAATGCAGAAAGGAGGGAGACTGAGTTGAGGAGAGATGATGGTTCATGGGGTGAGTTTATGCCTTTATTTGCATCTAGTAGCGCTGCTCTTACCTAAATCATTTGTCAAATGCATTTTCTTTTTAATACACGTTACAAATGCAGAACGATGTTTAATGCTATCATTCCATGTAGCATTGTGAATGTATTTGGATTATATATGGTTTATATATGATTTATACACTAATGAAATGTTAAGAAAAATAAAATACCATGAAATTGATTGATGGATTTCTGAAGAGGTGTTACTTCATCTGGACCCAGCAGTCTTGTAGCACTATATAATAAAACATTTTAAATGAAAAGACCATTTTCAGCAGCTTGTGTTTGTTTCCCTTCAGGTGGATCAAAAATCTTCAAGCTGCTCGGAGTCGGCTTTTGTCTACTGTGCATCATACAAGTAGCTATCAATATTTTCATCTGGCACAAAGACGGTGAGCATCAGGAAAGAGTTTTCCCATCACAGCAAAGATTTGTGTATTGATTTAGGGTCAGGTCAGGACTGTTCATTCTTTTGTTTGATTATCTCTTGATTAAGATTTATCTTTTCCCCTGCAGTTGTGATTTCTTCTGTGTCAAACAGCTCAACTCCCAATGCCACCTTCCATCTTAAGGAGATCAGTCTGCTGAGAGAAGAGAATCACAAACTGAATCAAGATATAGACGACCTTCTCTACACGATAAATCAACTTCGTCCAGTGGAGAACCTTCTGAGGGAAGATAAAAATAACCTGATTGAAGAGAATAAATGGCTGAATGAAAACAATGACAAAATCAAACTAGAGAATGACCAACTACGAACCAAAGTCAGTACACTGCGTTCTAAAAACACTGAACTGAATAAAGCATACGTCGAACTCAACGAATGCCACATGCAATTACAGATTGATATCGATAAACTGAAAAGTGAATGTTACGCAAACTATTATTACCGACGATTCTGAAAAAAGTCCACGTTCTCTTTTAATGCTGAACTGGCACTTTTCTCATGTTCTTGATCTCTGTGATTTACTGTAAAAAAAACTGTTGGTAAATTTTTAAATATAGACTTTTTTGGTATGTTTTTTTTTCTGGGTAACATGAAGCAGCAACGATGACCAATTTGTGACAATGATGTGATCAGATGTACATCTCCTGCACTTAAACTGCGATAGCACTAAAATGTTTGTGTTAATGTATCAATACTAATACTTTACTAATACTTTTAGTGTGTTTTGTTTCCTTTTAAAAAATAATCATAGATACACGCGCTCCCAATATCCTGAATATTTACATTTCTGTCACATTTCTGAATCTATTATTCTCTTACATTTTCTCCTGTTGGATTAAAATCAGTCATTGTGTTTAGAACAAATTAATAAATATGTCATCTAACAGATTAGGTTGATTGTTTCACTTCTTGTTTCGTCCAATAAACTCATACGACTTTATACTTAAGCATGTGAATTCGATATGTTTCTTTGTTAAAATGCATAAAAACCCAAACAAGCAATTCCTGCTCACGTGGACTTTACATGGGAGCAGGATTAAATATGGAAGGTATGTGACATATAGTCACATGGATTAAATTAAACAAAAGCTATGAAGATGTTTAGGAAATCTAAAGGACTTAAGAGCCCAATGGCTACTGGAGCATTTTCCAGCCGTCATCAGACAGGAGGCTGGGTACACCCTGGACAAGTTTTCCACTTAATACAAACGTAATTTACTCAGTTATTAAAATGTGGGAACTGAGTTGTGAAATATTGTGGTTGAAAAGGGAAGTTGCTCAACACAACCTAAAACATATCAGCTAAAAGAAAAAAAAAAAGTAGTGCCACCAGCTGCTGTTACAGCCCAGTCAAAGCCAGGACCCCCAAAGCACTGAAAAAATGCAACAAAGAGTGTTGCAATGCTGGACACAGGATGACCATAACCACAGAGAGACTAGTAATGCCACACAGGAAACCCCCACTTCAAGTTTCTGCAGGGTGGTTTTACATTTAAAACAGTCAGTACTTTTTTACCCCCTAAACAGACTTTACACTATGGCAGAGTTTTGCCCTGTAAATGTGCATTATGGTATCATTTGATGTTTGATGTTCATCTTCACCTTATCATTAGAGCTGGGAAGGATCACATCATTTTATCAACCTGTGTTTAAACCCTTGACATCAAGTTTACTTTTTCATGTGTCTATTGAAGCCATGCAAAAAATGCACACTGTAAGAAATGTCTGTGAAATAAACATTAATATGCCGTAAAATCCAGAAATTCAAAATCTATAGCAAGAAAAACAATGAATCAGTGTATATTTAAAAGGAATATATTGTAAAAAACAAAACAATGAATACTTGTTCATTTTACAGTCAGTTTATGTGAGGGGGGGGAGTTTGATTGGACATTCTAAGTTGCCCTTAGGAGTGAGTGGTAGAGTGGTTGTGTGTCTCTGTGTTGCCCTGCGACGGACTGGTGGACCATCCAGCAGTCGCTCATTGACTATTGGGTTAGTCTCCCATCCCCCTGCGACTTAGGGGATAAGTGGTTATATAAATGAACAACCTTTTACTAAAATAAGCAGAAAAAAATCAGTTATATGACCATTTAATAATGCTGATTATTTACTGATTTTCAGTCACATTGAATGGGATTAGATTATTAGTAAAATAAGCAACACCCGCATATACATTGTACAGGAAAAAATAGCTTTAATAGAGACACAGTCAAGTTCATTTGGCTGAAAAGCAATGTTGAATTTACCAGTTTAGCATGTAATTTTTAAAATGTTATTTTGCAAAGGAGTACAGTTTTACATTGTAAAATTGACAGGTTGTTCTGTAATGTGTTTTACACTGCTATATTTTATACAATATTTTTCGTAATGTGCAGAAGTATAAATTTAGAATAGTTCTGATGAATTGAAAAAACACGTAGGATCCCGACAATACAGGATATGAAGTCATAGGGGAAATATGACAGTGTAAAAGTGTAGTATGTGGACAAGTGCTTTAATAGCCCATAAAATGAGCTTTATTTATTTATGTGTGAGCGACCACATGCTTTGAACAAACTGCTGGTTTGCAGCAGGTTTCGTAACGAGGACGGCAAACTGATGAAAATGTGTTTCCATCTAGCCAGTGCACTGGACTGACTGAACCATAGTGGACAGCCTAACCCCAAACTATCCATGACTTCTTCCATAATACTAGTTCGGAAGTTTTTTGTGCCCTTTTCTGTATTTTTTTCTGTTATGAATTTAAAGGAAACTGTGAG